CAAGTTGGGTGATGGCAGAAATAGCAGCCAACAACTGCATGTCAACAAGGGGGTACTGGAGAGAGAGGGAAAGAATCTGATACCTTCATGCACACACCATGCAATTATTTATTCAAGTGAGAGGAGCAAGTCTTCCAGGTGAAAACAAGCTGACTCAGAACTCTCTGATTATTGAAAATGAATGCTTAATAGAAGTAAATGGCCAAGAACTAAATTTCCTCACTGTGCTTGCCATTCAAATTAATTGGAAAGTGGCTGATTTGAGAATATTATATCCTCTAGTGAACTGAAAATGCTGCCTTTTTTTTTCTCTGAAACCAAGAGTGGAGAATTAAATTAACTCTGAGGTTTGTTTGCTCAGAGTAGGCCACCAAACTGGATTAATTAATCATCATTTATGAACATTCTATCACCCAGAGCAGTCAGAAAACTGCTAAGATAGCAACATGACAGTAGAACTGCTATAAAACCAAATGATAAATTTCCTGCATCTCCAGCCTATAGTAACTTGCCAGGCATTTCTTTGCAGTTCAAAAGAAAATATCCTGGTGAAAACTCTTTCTTAGTTTTTATAGGAGTGCTCAGAATAAACAGAATGATTTACACTTGTTCTGTAACTTGGGGTCCATAGGGAATGCGAGGGAATGTTTCCTTCCTCCGCCTGGAGATTACAGAGTGTCATGTCAGGGATAAGAGGCATCATTCCTCCCATCATTCCAAGCCCAGTTAGAAGCAGATTTTCATTTACCACATGTCTAAAGAGAAATGGCAGACAAACTGTCATTTATGGGCACTTATCCAAAGTCATCATCCTTTGGGCTTCTTTTTGCCTGCATGTCCCTTGTCCTCCACAGCTCTGCCTCATGTTCAGCTTGACCTAAACCAACAGTATCCAAAACCCCTGCAATCTGCTTTATTTCCTTAATTTGAACTTGGGTTTGTCCTTAAGTCTGAACTGAGTAGATTTATTTCCTTTTTTAAGAGAGAGTTTATAGTCTGAGGAAGTCTTTTCAATGAGAAAACACAGATGGCAAGAAAACAAATCCTGTATCATGAATTTCACTAGAAAATGGAAATAACAAGAGAACTGAATTGCTGTAGACTTCTGCAAAGGCTTCCTGGGGCCCACAGATGTGAGTGGCAGCAGCTTTGGCCACAATTAGCTGTGCTGCTGATCACTTGCACAAGTGTGACAAATGAACAGCCATAAAACTTCCATTCAGATCTTTCACCCTCACCCAGCTACATACCAATTGCACAAATTCATCAGAAGCAGTAGTTACTTTTTTCACAGCCTCTCAAAGCATGTGCTGAGAGGGGAAAAAAACTAAAACCCGTCTTTTTTCTACTTTCAGGCTTTGAAAAAAAACAAAATATAACTAATATATATAACTAATGGATTAGAACTTCCCAACCAGTTTTCTTCATCTGCGACCCCACACATCATGAGGTGTCACAAATGTATATGATCAGGGGAGTGGTGGCTGTGTGGAATGTGCTCATGATTTAGCCTTTACTTTAGAAGCAAAACTTGGAGAGATAACAGGAAAAAAAATAAAATATCAAACCTAGCAACTGTATTCTCAGAAGGAAAGGAACACGGCACAAGATTGTTCTGTCAATACTGAGGAATTCATTTAATCCTGCCAACTAAACAATGGAAAAGCAGAAAGCGTTCCTGGGTAAATGAGAACCAATTTTGCTCTTCCAATAGGGAATTTTAAAAGAGCATAGAGGCTCTGCAGCATTTGTACAGCTGTCCCAAGGCCACTTCCCACCACTGCTGGACAGCAGCTTCCAACTCCCATCCTGGGAGCACTCAAGGTGGAGAGCAGACGCAGTAATGAATATGGGCACAGGAAATAAAAAGCCATTCCATGGTTTTGTTTCCCCTTCAATCAAAGACAAAAATATTTCTGTCCAAACACTGACTTAGTTGCTTTCTTTAGAGATATTATATTTGGAAAATATTTGATTATCCTGTCAAGAGTATTAAATTATAAACAGATGTGCAGAGTGGAAAGAGAGCAAAACTAAAAAAAAAAAAAAAGTGCGATTTTCAGGCATATAAATGATTTTGCTTCAGCAGCAGAAGGGTCATGAATATGAATAGTGCTGAATTCTAGAGAAGCCATTTGTCATTATTAAAATTAGTGCTTTGTCAACACAAAATTCTCCCTCCCAGCCTCCCCCTAGCTGCAGAAGAATCCACACATTAATTCCTCCCTTCTGGCAAACCTTATTTAAAAAAAGCTAAAGACACTAAACATCCATTTCCTCTCAGAACAGTGGAATTCCCACATGACACCCAACTCTGGCTCCTGGGCTTTCCAGCAATGGGCCAAGCAGCAGGAGGAAAGGACCTAAAGGGGAACATTGATCCTATTTAATTGTGGAGTGGCTGAGAAGATGAGGGGGAACACATTTATACCTAAGTTTCCTAATGGATTTTTTCATTGCAAGTGCTTGATCGATGGGTAGGGAGAGTTTCAGATAGCAACAGAAAGGAATCAGCCAATCTTTTATTCCCAACACAGAATTGCCATCCTTGAGATTGTGATGCACTCCAGCTGTGCCCTCCAGAGGCAGGTGGCTAATCTTTGTCCAAAACCAAGTGCTTTTAGGTAAAGCTGTGCTAAGTCTGGCAGTTACAGAAGGAAAAAAAGGTCTTTATTCTGAATTAATAGGGCAGTGCATCCAGAGCAAGCACACAAACTCTGAGTAGAGAATACAGTTTCAAGCCACTGGTTTCTATTCAAATAGGTTTTTTTAAAAGCCCTTTGTTTCTCTCTACTAACTACTACAGGTTTCATTTTCTATAACACAAGCCTGCATATACAAACATTCTATATAGAGAAAACAAGATTCCATATAGAGAAAATACTGTATATCTAAATTCTAGATGTGATGTGAAATAATTCTGTAAGTGATGTGAAATAGCCCTAGAGACAAAAAGCACACAGTGAGATGGTGCGATGGTCCTGCCATTAGTTTGCAAACAATCTGCGATCATCCATGCTCTAAAGTGAGCAGTTAAAACCCATCACCTTTCATCCCCAGTGATTTGGAGGTAGACAGCAAAGAATTAAATCCCATTTTACTTCATGAATAATGCATCATATCTGGGGCTTTTTCACTTCCAAAAAGACCACTGGAGCAAAAGAAGTCAAAAGAGTGTCCAAGATCTTTTGACTCCATGAAGAGTGATTAACTGGATCTTTTAAATTGGTTTGCAGCAAAATGAAACTCCTAGAATAAGCTAATACTCTTCTGCTACAAGTACATTTTAACATTGAAAACAATCTCATCCATTTTCAAGTGTAAACAAAGCACAAGGAACACACAGATTTACTTGCATACTTCATTTGGTGCAATAACATCAAATGTCATTTAGCACTCATCAAACAAATGCTCCAGAAACAAGGTGATATTCTCCAGCAACATTCCCTACAAATGTTTTCCTTTCCAGCACTTTAAAACAGTCTACAGGAAGAACTTTGCACATTTGCGGGAGTTGAACTAGCAAGGATCTGTTTGCGTTGGCTGGGGTTTATTTTGTGAGGAGAGGATGATTTATTACCTTCCTTATGGTTTCTGGGGTAGTACTTAGGGACATGCACCACGTTCAGGGTAATTTTAAGAGTCACTCTGTTTATGTCAAACACTTGGGGCCATGAAACGCACAAGAACTGGAATCCATCAAATCAATCCACAGAAAAAACCAACTTGTACAGCTTCCAACCTCTGCTTAGCCCAGGCCCAGAGCAGAATAAAAAGGAAGAATAAATTACCTTTTGTGGCATAAAGTGTGCAGAATGCCATCCCACTGCAGAGGAGCCATGAGGGACACTTTCTCCTAAGCTCCATCTGTCTCCCCCTTGGAGGAGCACTAAAAGCTCCTTGTTAATAATTTAACAAACTGATGGACACATTACGAAGCACTGGGGGCTGGTGCTTAAAGAAGCACCACCTTGGCACAGCAAGAGGGTGAGAGTGGGAAGCTGGTGGCTTCTCATCCCCTGATGGACTAGGGACAAGCCTGGGACAGCAGAGCAGGAACCTGCAGGAGGGAAAGCTTTTCTGCAGGTGGATCACTGCTAAAAACCCTCCTGAGACACACACAGAGGTATTTCAGAGCCTATCTCAAGCATATCTGACCCACAGCCCAGGCTCCAAAGAAGTGCTGCATAAGCACTGTCCCTCAGGCCTGGGTTGGGCAAGACATCGCTCAAAACACACCCAGAAACCCTCCAGCACACCAATTCCATTCATTTTGAATTTACAAACTCAAAATGCACTGACCTAAACACTACTCCTGTAGCAGCTTCCAAAAGAAGAAGGCACAGCCACTGTCCTGCACGTGACTTTATAAACTTCTCCCATTCCTAATCATCCCAGACAAGGCTCACCTGGACACAATTATCTCTGTGCAGAGCAAACCATTTACTGGGAACCAGGTGTGCCCACTGTTGCCAGGTGTCCCCACTGCTGACAGCTCATTTCTTCAGAATGAGGCTGCTTCAGTCCCCCAAATCTGCCTGCAGCTGTGATCCCATTTCACTGTCATTCCATCCCAGCTCAGGCCACTGCACGGACTAAAACAGCCAAGTGACAACATTCAGTTTGGTGCCATCTTCATAAAAGTAAAAAATTACAATCTACAGGTAAAACAGCCACAAAACTGAGTTTAATCACCTTGTGGAAAGAAAATGCTGAGAAATACATTTGTCACTTTATTCTTATAAACTCTCTTTATTCCTCTGAAATAAATCATGAGATCTACAAGGCAGTGGCCACGTAAAGGCTGATAACAAGAAGTTATATCAGCTTTAAGGAGAAAATGAAGACAGAGATACTTAGCTGAGATACCATCCTTCACAAAGCCTGGGAGTCAGAATTTATTCCCTTACTTACAGCCATGCTATTCCAGCCAGCACCAGGGGGGGACAGCAAATTGGATTTGTGGTGTGCCATGCCTGAAAGGCTTCTCTTGCCGCCAGATCAGCATTTTCATGACCCACCTGTCCAACTATGGCAACGACCGCCTGGGACTCTACACCTTTGCCAACCTCGCCAGCTTTGTCAGGAGCTCCACGAACCTGCGGCTGCAGACACTGCCCCCCGTGCAGCTGGCCCAGAAGTACTTCCAGCTCTTCCCCGAGCAGACTGACCCCCTGTGGCAGGTAAAGGCACCTCCTTTTCCTCCTCCTGCTGCAATCCCCTCGTTGGAACGAGCATCTTTTCTTCTAAAAAGCCTTTTTCGAGCATGGGAATGTGAGTTCAACACTGTCATCTAATGGTTACCTGTACCTGCCTCTTCTACCTGGAATACTGTGAGCCACACTGAGCTTGTGGTTACACAGGGTTAAATCCAGGAGGCCACCAAGGAAACCTGTGCAGTTATTTAGGGCTTACACTTGCAAAAGAGGTGCAGAAAATTTCCCCTATAGTTTTTGGCCCAGCTACAAAGGAAGTATAAATCTACAATATTTTCACTGGGCTGCAGCAATTCTGTTCAGCTGATGATTTTCTCCAACCTATTTAGTTAATTTTATTCACCAGCAAAGTGTATCCTCTGTTACCTCTGCAAAAGCAGCATCTGTATGGTAACTGCTTTGAAGAGCAGCCAGTCCCAACCTCTTCTGCAGGGCCTTTTGTTCATAGGTTTTTATTTTGCATTCATAGGTAGGAGAAAGATAAGGAGATGAATAATATCCCACATTTCTATTTTGTCCTTCCCTTTTGCATTCTCACGTAAATTAATATTGGCACTAAGCCCCATGCATCCAGAACCACTCTGACAGCTCAAAAAGTAATGCCTCAAAGCCATCCAGAGGCTTCCATCTGAACCTCAAATGGAAATTTGATTAAATCAATGTTCCAATTTTTTTCCCCCTTCTTTTTCTTTTCTGCTAATGACTGAACCTTGTCCTCAGTCATTCAAAACCACTGTACACACACTGTGGGGTGTTGCTGCTCAGTGTAGGGCTCTGGCATTAGTGCAGAACACTCAGACCCTGCAGAGATTTCAGATTCCCAGTGTGATGGGCACCACCACCTTTTGTCCTTCAGAACCCGTGTGACGATAAGAGACACAGGGATATTTGGTCCAGAGACAAAACTTGTGACCACCTGCCCAAATTCCTGGTGATAGGACCCCAGAAAACAGGTAAGGAGCACAAGGACAGCTTTTAAAAGTTTCTACAGAGTCAAAGGTCCTTTTTTAATTTTTTAATATTTCCTAATGGCACCTCTTTTCATTGTCATAGGTACAACAGCCCTTTATTTATTCCTTCTGATGCACCCTTCCATTATCAGCAATCTCCCCAGCCCAAAAACTTTTGAGGAAGTTCAATTCTTCAATGGCAACAACTACCACAAGGGAATTGACTGGTAAGGAGAATGACAAAATTGAGGTGTTCATCCTTATGCATGGAAAATCACAGTGGAACAATTCCAGGAGCGGGTATGACATCTCCTTAATTACTGGATGAATTTTTTATGCTGGGAATTATCAGATGGAAAGAGAATCTAATTGGTAATGATTGGGCATTTAATCAAGCCCCTAATTTTGTTTAGATATTACAGTAAGGATTTTCTGAGTTTTCACACAAATGAATGCAAGAGGCAGTTCTGTCATGAGTAACATCTCTGTCTTGTCATAGCTGTAGCTGCACTGACTTACACTCTGTTCCTTCCAAAGTGGCTTTTCATGAAGTGAGGTTTCATTTATCTCTTCACAAGGATCCATCCAATCAATTTTAAATGGAAAAGACCATTCAAAGCCAAAATTCAAATCTTGTAATTCTGAAAGCGTCCAAAAGCAAAAATGAGTCAGTCCCAAAATGAAGTACTTCAACAATGTTAAAATTAAACAGTTTGACATTTAAATGTTGACATTAAATGTTGACATTTTGAAGCTTTTCCCAATTTTTTTCTGCAGCTAAAACTGAACTCACTTCAAACTGGTGAAAGATATCCCTTTGACACTGAAGTTATTAGCAAAAATCCCATCCATCACAGGAAAAACCTAATTACCAGACTTCATGAGGGCTTTAACTATTACCAGCACCACCTAAGAGCCAAGATGCATTCCCATTACTCCAGTCTGGGCTGAGCTGAAAAATTCAATTTTGCTTCTTGAGAATTATGTCTGAAAATTCACCTTGTCACCCACCATGAAATGGGAAGCATGGGGCCATGACCCTGTTGTGCTGCTGCTCATTCTGACAAGTCTCTTCCCCTCCAAGGTACATGGAATTCTTCCCCACTCCTTCCAACACCACCACCGACCTCCTGTTTGAGAAAAGTGCCAACTATTTCCACTCTGAGGAAGCTCCCAGGAGAGCTGCTTCCCTCATCCCCAAGGCCAAGATCATCACCATCCTCATTGACCCGTCGGACCGCGCCTACTCCTGGTACCAGGTATGGAATTCTGTGCCCCAGGAATGCACAGTGGGGCTACTGCCAGGGGATGGTGGTGGCATCAGTGGGAATCTGTGTCCTTGGGCAATAATGGGAGTTGTGGCACAGCCTTGGCACCCCGTGGGAGCAGGAGGGTGCTGGATGCCACCTTGTGCAGCTGGCACCTGTGACACCGGTGTTGGGAATGATGGAAGTTCCCAGCACAGAGCTGCCACCAGCTGGGAACAAACAGTTCAGTCTGAATTACAGCTGACAGGGCACAGAGGGAGAGCAGGGCTCCATGCCCAGGGAGATGCACTGGGAAGAGGAGCATGGCCCAGCCAGGGAATCAGAGCTCTTGATACTGAGGCCTGGCCCCACTCCCCTTCCCCCAGCATGTGCTCAGCAGTCTGCAGCTGTGCTCAGATGCACCCAGCGTCTCCTGAAGTTTCCAAGGAGGTAAAAAGGGCTGTGACTGGAGACACTGGCTTTTTTCTCTGCTTGGAAACAAAAGCAAGCCTGTTGTTTTCCCCAGGAAACTCCAGGATGCTCTTCTTTGCCTTTTACTGAGCCCACACCCTTCCATAACAAAATCTGCACTACTTAAAAATTCTATTTTTAGGGAAATATATAATCATGCTTGTGAAAATGGCATAGGCAAACACATAAAGGAAACACTAAATACAGTGTTAAAATAACCTGGGATTAATAATCCTGGGACAGCATGAAATACATCATTTCTGATCCTGCCAGCAAGTTCTGCAAGGAGCAAAGCACGGCCAGGGGCTGCAGTTTGTACCGGGTCATGTCTCACTGGCAGCTTTCCAGCTGCCGAGGCAAAGCAGTAAAACAGTGATTTTTAAGATTTTTAAGAATTCAGGCTTCATCTGCAGCATCCATACCGTTGCACGTATTTCCTTCCCTGCGTCCCCGCAGCACCAGCGCTCCCACGAGGACCCCGCCGCCCTGAGGTTCGATTTCTACGAGGTGATCGCGGGCGGGCCCCGGGCGCCGCCGGAGCTGCGGGCGCTGCAGCGGCGCTGCCTGGAGCCCGGCTGGTACGCGCTGCACATCCACAGGTGGCTCTCGCACTTCCCGCCCGCCCAGGTAAGGGAGCCCGCCCGGCTCGGCCGGCCTTGGCACGGCCCGAAGCTGTCCCGAGGCTCCTGCGCCCCGGGAAAGCTGCAGCATCCCACCTTGTGCCAGGGCTTTTAAGAAATATAAATTTCATCCTGCTCCCTAGTCAGTCCCCATCATAGAAAGCTTCACATGTCTTTGATCCTCAGATGGAATTGGCCTTTCTTAGAGCTGGAGCACAGATTCCTTCTTTTGCCCCTTCTTCCTGAAGATATTTTATTTCATTGTCTTTTATAATTTTGCCATGAAAAAATTACCTAAATGCATAGATCTAAAGAATACCTCCATTGTTGAAGTAATAATAACCTAATAATAATAAAATAATAAAATAACCTAAAGCAAACATTTTAGTACTGCAAAGCACATGCATGGGTACTCCTTATCCAAGGACACGGCCACATGGCAGTTCATGTCTGTGCCTCCTGTCAGGCAAAGCTGGAAAAGGCTCTGTCATCAGCAAGGATCCCCAGAGTCTGCCCTGGGTGGGACAGAATGTGCTGAAAGGAGGCTGAGCTGAGCATTGCCTACTTTGTCAGGGACCTGGGGAAAAAAAAACAAACCAAACAACAAAAAGAATTAGAAGCTCTGTCTTCTTGCAATCCTGATTTTTCTTTTTATCCAGCCTAAGCTGCACTAAAGAGAGGAGAAGCAGGTCAATCCCGTTTCCACGAGAAGGGAGGAAATCAGTCATTTACTTCTTTCTTTCCTCTGCCCTTTGTACTCTTTGATAAATGGGGAGGAGTCCTGCCCAGAGCTGCTGAGCTGGCAGCAAGGGCAGCATTGCCCTGGGAGCAAACAGGCCACGTCTCCTCCTCGCCCACCTCATCCCAGCTTATTCTTCCAGAGGAGAGGGGGATGTCCTGGCAAACTCTGAGCATGCAGAGGGTGCTGAGCATCCCATGCCCTGCTCCCTGGGCTCCTCCTCTGCCCTCACCTGGAGTTGCTGCCTTCTCTCCTCAGGACTTCCAACAGACACATCGTAAACCTCAACAATATTTTACATCCTTTCCTTATCTCTTTTCTCAGAGTTGTCTGAGTGTCAGGTTTGGCTTGGGAGGTTAACTCCTGCATTTGAACAAGGTGCACACACAGAGTTACAAGGTGCCCACCTATGCAAATCCAACTCAACAAAGTAAAAAGCAAACCTAAAAAGGGGTTCATCCACATGAATGCTTTTAGCACTGTACAAAGTCATTTAAAGCTAATTTAAATCCAGGTTGTCACAGAAGTGAAATAATGCCATTTTTTGTTTACCCATAGTCCTGTTTCCAAATCAGTGCCATATTTACCCCTGCAGTTGCTCATTATTGATGGACAGCAGCTGAGAAGTGACCCTGCTACTGTGATGGATGAAGTGCAGAAGTTTCTGGGAGTCTCTCCTCACTACAATTACTCTGAAGCCCTAACGTGAGTGTATTCCCTTTTCTTATCTGCCCTGTGGGGTCCCAGGGCACATCCCCTCCCACCAGGATCCCTGCATTACTAATTACAAACACATCAGGACAACATTAACTTGGAGAAGCCTGGGGTTCTTTCCCATCAGTGTCCAGGAGCTGAAGCCTGCAGTGTCAGGTGTGGAAAGTTTGCCTTCACCATTCCAAAGGAGCCTGATGGCAGAGGCTGGGTGAGAAGCACTCATTCCCCAATCCCATCTTCCTGTCTGCATTTCCATGTACAGCTGAGACTCCTGCAGGGGAGGGAGTGGGCTGAATTCCCCTCTCCCCTCATAGTTCAGCAGAAAATTGTAAGAGGCTTTTGCCCTGAGCCTCCCTGTGTGAGGAGCATCATCTCTTACAGCCCCAGCCCTGGGATATCTGTGGCCTGGGAAGCCTGGCACTGCTTTTCCAAGCCCCTGAGCCAGCACATGGAGTGGGAAGCAGCAAAGCCTCTGCTTCACCTTCCCTGCAGGCTGGTCCTGAGGGAAACACAACCACAGACTTTGCAGCTGCCCCACACTGCTCCTCTCTGCTTGCAATTTCCATTTAATGTTTCCTCTCCTGGCAGGGTTCAGCTTATTTATAATCACAGGTTCAAAGTAAGACTTCAGTGCTTAAAGAAGTTGCTCTGCCAAAACCTTTTTCTAGAGAAAGAATTTTGGATTTCAGAATGCAATTTTTTAAGTCACTAGTTTCCAAAGAGGGTGGAGGGGAGGAGGAGTCTGATCACAGAGCTGAGCTATTGATGCTTGAACAACTCACAACTGCACATCTGCAGTGCCTTCTGCTGGGTTTTTAAAATCCACACCCACAGACATACATCTTCCTTGCTGGAACTAAATTAAAATCATGGAGTCACACAGCAGGAAGAAATTTGGCCTCTCATACTGGTTTGGACAGGAAAAATGGATTGTAAGCAGATCCATAAAATTATGCACTCCCTGTTTAGAGGCATCAAGAATGCAAATGTGCTGTGGAAGCCCTCACTTCTGCATGGATTTGGGATGGAAGGGGAAAATGCATTAAAGTGTGTAGCTGCTTTCTGGCAGGGCTTGTCAAAGGGGAAAAGATTGCCTAGGATTGTTCCTAGTCATTACTGCCTAACCACTGCACAGCACACATTCCTAAAGGTGTCAGGAAGCAGCCTAAGGAGCCAGGCCTGTGAACAGCACTGGGCAACAAGTCCATCACCCTGAGTAATTGTGTGAAAGTCCTGCAGGAAGGGGAAATCAAGCCAGGCAGAAGGGAGCCATGGGAGGGGAGTGGAGAGGCACAGAGGCAGGGCTGGAGGAAAAGGCAGGATGAGAGGAGTGTGCTTAGGAAAGTGTTCTCCCTTGGAGGGCTGCTACATTCTGTCAGAGAGTGAGAGAGAGATCCTCATGGTGGCATTGCTTGGCTCTGCCCTCCCAGGCATTCCCTGCCTCTGGCATCAGGTACTGCCTTCCCAGAACCCTGCCTCTCCCCCAGGCTTCCTCTGCAGGGAAGGGAAGATAACCAGGCCTCCAAGGCTTGCTGCTGACAGCTCTAAAACGCTCCCCTGTAGCTTCAGCCTTAGGGCTATCACTATTTTGAAATAAATACCTCCACTGTGCCCAATTACATTTACAGAAGCCCTGAGAGTTCTGTGATTTCTGAACACAGAGGGTTGAATTCAGCCTGAAGTGTCTCACCCTCTTTTCCCCTTCCCAGATTTGCACATAATAATGTTCAATAAGCTGCTTCTGAGGCAGAAGGATTGTTTGGGGCACAGTTTTGCAGTTTCCCTTTTACCCAGCACATGATGTTGCTGCTCCTCTTGGGAAATCAATGCAAGGCAGCTAAAGCACTTCACCATGCAGGGAGCAGATGGGAAAGGCCAAAGCAGAAATGAATCTATCATCAATATACCCATTTAATCAATAATTTATTTCTTTTTAATTGATACAGCTGCAGAGATAATTTAGGAGACAAAGGTCAGGCTGCATTAATAGGCTGGGCAAGAAAAAACCCATGGAGAAGGTTCACCCTTCTCCTGAAATTCACTCTCTTCTGCATCCGTATCGTAGGGACAGGGCAGGGGAAGAAAGGTAGTGTGTAACTAATTAACTCTGTGCTCCAGCCAATTATCTTTCATCCCTCTCAAACATCTGCTGAGCAGCAGGAATGAGCAGTGTTTGGATGTTTTATGGCTGCTTCCAGTCCCAGAGCAGTAAATTCCAAACCTGATGCCACGTGGTGCCGTTCGTTCCTCAGCGAGCCTGTTTCCAAGCCCTCATCCAAGCCCCTTCTATCTCTGCATTTCAGACTCCACAATCAAATGGCATGGCTCAGATAAGGCTGCTAAGACAGTGTTTATGCTACAATGCCACCCTAGGAAGGAAAATGGTATTGAGATGCAGTGATAGGGAGCAGCTAGCTTCTTCCTCAGGAAAGTTAAATCATCAGCACCCAAGCAGTGCTTCCTCAGGTGACCTGCACATCCAGACCCTGTGGGCTGGACAAGGACAACAAAAATTACCCAGTGCAGGTAGTGGGAAAAACTTCCTGCCTTTAGACACTTCCAAGGCAGATTGGTGGGAAAAAATGAATCCCCAGAGTTTATACAGGTTGCCCCCTCTGTCCTCAGAATTCCAGTCATCCAGGGAGATGCGTGCAGCAATAATTTTGGGGTAACACTGATGTCTCAGTAGCCAGGAAATGTTTCTGTAGCAAGGTCTTTTAAAAGATATGATCCTCCACAGGTTTGACCCTCAGAAAGGCTTCTGGTGCCAGTTATTGGAAGGAGGGAAAACAAAGTGCCTGGGGAAAAGCAAAGGTCGGAAATACCCACCAATGGACCAAGAGGTAAGGGCTGTTCAGAAATTTATGGGAGCAGTTTTAATACTGACCTTAAATAAACACACTGATTACTTTCCCCCCTTTGTTGTATTTTCAATGGATTGATGTTTTTAAAAATCAGAAACTCGAGCTTTGGAAGAGAGGGCATTGAGTTCCCCCTGTGAGAGCCAATTTGAGGGGGGGGGGGGGGGTCTCCTTTAACCTGATCTTGGTTTGTTTCTCCCCCCCTCACAGTCCCGAGCGTTTCTGTCGAGCTACTACCGGGAGCACAACGTGGAGCTGTCCAAGCTGCTGCACAGGCTGGGCCAGCCGCTGCCCTCCTGGCTGCGGCAGGAGCTGCAGAAGGTCAGGTAGCGCCGGGGGCGCCCGGCCCGGCGCATCCCTGCCCGCCCACACCCTCCCGCTCCTCCGGCTCACTCGGCATCGTCAGGACAGGACCTCACGGACCGCGCCCTTCCCAGCGAATCCAGACAAACCACAGCAGAATACATAAAAAGCCCCAAACCCAAGCCCGACAAGTGTTGGAATGGCCGCGCTGCCGGCGGAGCGGCACCGAGCCCCTCGGGCAGCTCCCGGCCGCTCCTCCTGCATCCCGGCCGGGGCCGCGCCGAGCCTCGCTCCTCCCTTCAGGGGGCACCAGGAACTCTGCGTGGGACGGACGGACACCGCACGGACAAACTGCAGTCTGTCCGGACACGGGCAAAGGATGGGAACGTCTCTCTCTGGACTGGGAGGTTGGTCATGCGCTGGGCTTTTCCCGCTTTTGTTTGCAAATCCTTTCATGTTCCCAGCAGGCCGTGCAGCGGGCACTGCCTGCAGCCTGGTATTGACAGCTGAGCTTCTGTCTGCTGAGCAGCGCTGTGCTTTTGAAACCTCAGACACTGAGTGAGTCATTTAGGGTCTCAGTCTGCCAACTGGTGCAGAACAGTACCTTTAATTACCTTTTTCAATGTTCTGGACACAAACAGTGTGCTGGAGCACAAACCCTTCCTGTAGACTGTTATGGAGTTGAAAGGACAAACACAGCCCCTGTATATCACACAAACATGTATGACATACATATCTCCACTCCTGAATATCTGCCTTGTGTATCTCTAGATCAGACACACACTCACTTTTAAATATCTGCTTTTTGTGCCCACAGGGAAATGAAAGGGTGGTTTACCAGAAATGTGACATGAACTGTGCTTGGTTCTGAGAGCTGTGGGGGCAAGGTCAGCAAGGCAGGGCAGAAACTCCTTACTTGTCCTGGATGGAGGTCATTCCTCAGACCTGGAAGTGGTAAACACATGTATTTGTATGCAACATAGAAACCCACAATCCCTTATCTTAGAGCACTGGCAACACCACAGATGACTGGAATAATGAGAGCTCTGGATAAGTAAGGCTTGGTCAGACAAGAGTATCTAAACGGAGCATTTGATAGAATTATAGCTGTTAAAATGCATTAAAACTGGCTCAGCTTTAATTAGAAAAGGACTGCCTCACTCTTGATTTAAAGCTGAATAAACATGACACTGGTTTCAGGAGCTTTTCAAGGAAATGAGACAAACACTAGAGAATCCAGAAAATTATTTATTGTTCTTAACTTTTTGTTTAGAAAGAAGTCCATCTCTCCAGCTCTCAGCTCTGTAATGGCACCATGTCCTGAAAATCCACCAGATATTTTTATACCTCACTCTTATTTTTTAGGTTTGAATGGGCCTCACATTTCCGAGAGATCTCATGTTCCATTGAGAACTGACGTTTGAATTGACTTCTTTATGTGTCACAAAGATGAAATAACATTATTTCCAGGTTCACTCCCTCCACTTGTAACAGGACCCACCAGCACAGAATTTCTCTGCACCACCGTGTGACAGATAAGCCTTTGTGAACTGCCTGGAAATGATCTCCTTTGCTTTCTTATGCCTTTTTATGTCACTGACCACATCGTTGTTGGGATTCTTACAGACCAGCAAAACAAAGGCAGCAAAAATGCAACAATTATTGAAGGCAAGAGGGCTGTGGCTGGGAAAGACCGTGCTGGTCCTTCTTTCTGTCTGTAAGCCACGGGATTCCTGTGCTGCAGGCTTTAATTGAGAGTTTCACAGTGCTGCAGGGGGGCTGCAGCTGCAGTTTGCTCCCATTGCCCTGGTAATGAGAATTCCAGGACGTGACCCTGTGGGGCAGGCAGGGGCGTCAGGGCCCGTGGCAGCAGAGCTGATGATGAAAGCAGAGCTTTGGGAAAGCTGAGCTCCTATAACTGAGGTTGTCTTTGAGCAAGAAGCAATCAGAACGGAATCCAAACCCTTCTAAATTATGCATTGACCTCTCAAGGTCTAAAATAAAGTTGCAGGATTAACTGCTCCGAGATGTTGTCTAATAAACCAAATTTACTCTCTGACAGGGGAGCAGGCTGCCGAGAGTCCCCCAAACAAATTAAAATGGCGGAATTAGAAATTCCTGGGGGAGGAAGAGATTGTGTAATGAAAGCGCTGATGGGTCCAGGCTCTCTGATGTGATAATGAGGCAGTGGGGATGTGCCCTGAATACAGAACCAGGAGCTGAGTGTTTGCTCCTCTTCCTTCTCCCCCTCCCCACATGAGGCAGGGACATGGGGGATCTTTCATCCCCTGAACTACCAGGGGGAGGGGTGTTCCTTTCCCCTCTGCTGGGCCACCCAAAAGGGAGACATCAACCACTCATTTAGCTCCCATCAGTAACAAATTATGTTCATAATAGGCTTAAAATTGATTTTTCTAACAGGAATGTGAGTGTGCGACATCTGTGTCAAGCAGGGACGTAAATCAGCAGTGACCAATGGCTGATTTGATTGTACTGAACTAAGGCTAAGTTTGGGGTTTCTTCTACATAACTCTGTGTTCATGGGACAGGAATTTCCCTGTCAGACAACATTTCTTACACTGTCTTTATTTCTCTTTTTGTGTTCCAGTTCATCCTTTTAGTATGACTGCAAAGGTGTGGACCTGCCCACGGACTCGATTCCTCCATCACTCTCCTATCTAGAAAAGCTGCCAAAAGGAAATCAGGATTTGCAAGCAACACAGATTCTGAAGTGTTCAGTGCTCCAGTGACTGGATAACTTTTATAAGACTTCTATGATTTCTGCAGTATTTCAGAGCAAAGGACATCCTGTTGATAGAGCTGAGGAAAAATTTCACTGTCTTGCCCAAGCTCTTTTTACTTAAATTTTTCTTTCCCCTCCTACATGACGACAGCAAATCCAGTTGAACAAATACTTGGTGTTGAAGCAGAAGGAATGAGAATAAATTTTGATCACTCAAAGTATTTTTGTTGGGGGGGTGGGGATGGTGAGGGAGGTCAAGGGCTGTACTTGCTGGAATTGTTTTAAATAATTGATGTGCTCACAGCTGATTATGGGTTTTTCTCACTGCCACAGAATAAACACTTCTGATGGTGTATTACAGACAGAGCTTTGCTTCTTCCCTTAAACCCTCCTTCCCATTTCCTGAGCCAAAATCTGGGCCTGCCCTCCCTAAGTTTGGCCTCCCTGCACCCCACAGGAGACGGACACGCAGCCCCAAGCAAGCTCTTGCCCTAATTAAAAATAATTTTCTTCTGCTCCGTTTGAGGAATCTTGAAAGGCCCTGATTCCAGCTACTGCAAATTCCTCAAACTGTGCACTCAGAAGTATGAGACAGCTTTTTTTCTCTCCCTAAAATCTCGTAATGCTTCTATTTTTTATTATAAAATATTCATTTGTTTTACTGATCTGTGTCAGAATGAGGTTAAATCATAGCAGAGTCGAGGATTCGTTCTACAAACCTTCCAGAATAGCTAATTCCACCTCCCTAGAGCTTCTATCATTGAGCAAATTAGAAATGACATTACAGATATCTCACCACAAGTTTTGCCCTTTTTTTCCAGGTCTGCCTGGTGCTTGTAGACAAATTTTCAAAGGTAGCTAAATTTCCAAAGTATTTTAGGAGTCTAAATCCATTAAAAAAACCCAGGAAAACAAAAAACCCCAAACTTGTGGGTCCCTATACTTGTAGGCCCTAAAAATCAGCTGGCTTTCCATCGGGCTTTCCAGGTCCAGGCAAATTTCCTGCCTCAGTTTTATTTAATAAAACAACAGCAGAATTCTTGAAAAATTTTACTACTCCCAGAAAATTCATGAATCAGACTATTCCCTCCTAGAACCTGGAAACCTGAACTAACTTGTGAGGTGATCTGTTTGTGTAAAGATCTTTTCCTATGTCCAGGGTGAGGAGGGAGAGGAGAGGAGAGGAGAGGAGAGGAGAGGAGAGGAGAGGAGAGGAGAGGAGAGGAGAGGAGAGGAGAGGAGAGGAGAGGAGCGGAGCTCTTTGTCAGGCCTGTAAATATCCAAATCCCAGTCAGCAACTGATTGATAGAATGGCAGAAATGAATCCTGCATATAATTTATACTCCTATTTCTGCTCATGAGGAATTAAAGACTTCCCAGGAAACCAGATTGATATTTGCATTTCAGTCAGCTGCAGCTGCTGGGTGTGGAGAAAAACATTTAAAACATCTCAATAAAGCCAGATCTGCCACTTTGGGTTTGCAAAGCTGTTTGTCCTGCTGCAGCTCCCTCTAACCAGACCTGGGCCAGTTTTATAGTGCTCCTATTTCTTTGGGACTGGGAATGTGACATGTTAATACACAAATCTGTCTCCATCACAGAAGGTCAGGGGGGTTTATGGGCTGGCAGTTGGAGTCATCCTGGGGTTTTCTCAGAGGTTATTTTCAGCCAGGAGAAGGTCAGCAGCGGGTGGAGTGGGATTTCTCAATCTGAATTGCAATTCCATAAAATGCTGTGGGGGTGGAAAAGTGTGGTTTATAATTTGGGAGATAACTGCATGCCATTCAATTGACTTTGTACTTGCCACTTCTCAGAGTCTGGTGGATGTTCTGCTGCCTTGCAGAACTTATCTGTAACACACATCTCCTGTTGGTAATTTAGCTTCCCTTCAGAGGAAGAGCTGAGCTACAAGGAAGAGCTGGATGTTGGAGGAGATAAGTTTTTTCAGAACTTGCTCTGAGGCAGATATTTATTTACAGTTTTTCTTTAACTCTGTGTGTGCGTTTCACTGTGTTTGCCTTAGCTGGGGAATCATCTCCACATTAAATCTGCACGCCCTCCAAAGGCTCTCAATTCCCATCAGCATCAGTGGCAATTAAATATTCTGGTGAAGGAGAGAATAGACCCACCAATAGAAAATGTTATTTAATGACATTGTAGCTGTTGCACATCTTCCTGCAGAGCTTTGTGTAATCACACCAAGTAAGCAAAGAGAAATTGTTCTGCAACGTGAAGCATTTAATATTTAATAAGCAATCTGATCTAAAAAAGAAAAAAAGGCACAAAATCACCTTTTGGGTACTTTTTTCTTTTAGGAGAAAGTTTTGTGTCTTAGATTTTGGGGTTTCTGCCTTCCTACAAGGAAGTGCTGTAGCCTGCTCCCCCTTTGTCCTTTCCTACTCATCCACACTCCTTGGAGCTACTTCTCATCAGCAGCATTTATTCATTCACCTGCACTTTCAGTCCCAACTCAATTTCTTCCTTGGCTAACTTCTGCTCCCACAGAGGAAAACTGCAGATCTCCCAGGGAAGCATCACCTTTCATTGCCTAGACCATACAGGCTTCAATTACTTTTAGGTTATCCCTATTTTAGGTTATTACTTTTAGTTAATTAAGACAGTGTGTTTTAGGAGAGTGCTGAGGATCTCTCTGATGTGGCTTTCCTGCAGCATTCCCACAGTTTTCACTCTGTTCCAATGCAGGGAAGCTCCTTGGTCGTAAAGCACAGCAGAGCTGGATGGCACTGTGAGTAAATCTGCCATCATTAGGCTGGGAGCTGCAGCTAAATTATAAATTGTCATCCTAACTAGGAAGAACATTTTTATGGATCCTGGCTCACCCTCTGCAGACTTCAGCTATTTCCAGTAACTGCCACACAGAACACACTACAATTTGTCAGCTGCTTGGAAAAGGAGACTTGAGCCTGGGGACTTAATTCCCTTCAATCTTCTTAAAAGATATGATCCCAAACCTGGGGATGAAAGCTTAGCAAGGTACAGGGAGGCAATCCAAAGCTGCCAGGACAATCAGAAGGGACAAGCACCTCAGCACAACACTAAAGCTCATTTCTCCAAAGGTCAGATGCACAGCCATGAAGCCTTTTTTATTTCCCTCCACGTTAGAGAAGTGGCAGAATAAGAAGCATTTGGAGGCTTGCCTGGATTGCTGTGGGAAGGTGTCGTGTCAGGGCTTTAACACAGACCACGTTGTCACATTCTTTCTAAAGCCCAGCTCATGACAAGCCATTTTTCCCCCCTTCCATGTGGGACAAGCCAAGACATAAAATTTTGACAGACGTGTTTTATATTGGTGACATCCTGTGACAGTGTTTTGGCTCTGGTGTGCAAAACATCTGTAGAACAGAGGATTTTTATTGTCACAGAAGCCTGCTCGGCAGCTGAAGGTTTTAGTGAGGATCCTAAATCACCATTCCTGTAGCACTGCAGATCCTTTTTTCCAAAATAGCTCCATATTTTTATAAAGCCCAAGTGCTTTTACTTAGGGCTTGGCACGCTCACAGAGCCAAGCATTAATCAGGGAATGAGGTGAATTGTGCAGGGTGAGCCCGTGAGTGGGCCTAGAACAGAGGCAGGAATCAGGGAAATACTGTAAATTAGGATGCTTGTTTATAGGGAAATCCCTAAGGAAGAGAACTGTGAGTCCTCTGGGAAAGCTCAGCAGCGTTTAGAAAATTTCCACCAAGACTTCAGTGCTTTTCCAGCTCTGACAATCTGACAGCTCCAGTTCTGTCAGGAAAGCACAGGCTGGGCAATTCATCCCCCTTTCCCCAATGTCAGGTGCTGACTCACCTGCACACGGACCTGTCCAGGCTGTTTCCATCCACAGTCCTTTGGAAATGGGAAACTCTTTTTTGCCCCCTTTCACAAAGACCACCCTGAGGAACTGAGCTCTGAGGGAAGGGAAGCATTTACCAGCAGCCCACTTAGTGTGGAATTTTTTCATAAAATGTTCTTTGACAAAATACTGAGTGCTAAAGGAGAAATATCCTTTAGAGACTTGACTTTGCCGTGGGCCTATTTAATCCTGGCATATTAAACACACTTTTATTTTATACATTAAAGAATATTAATTCTGGACACTTAACAGTGACACAATGCAGACATTATAAAATTCGGTAATGTGCAATAAAACTCCCTTCATAAGTGCCCAACCATAAGTACACCCATTTTCTGGTTTCCTTCCAATGTTAAGTTTTGCACTCTTGCACCTTCAATTACAGACCTTAGTGCCCATTTAAAATGACTCTATTTTGCCCACAGACAATTCCCTTCCATTTTGGCTGCCTTTTCCATTTGCCACCTGTTGATTAATAGCCTCAATAATTTATTCCTTTACAGCTTTGTTGTTTTTCCAATGGAAGAGCTGAATTGTGGGGCAGACACCCACTCTCCTGTGTAATAAAGGAGCAGAGAAAAACTCTGCAGCTCCTTGTGCTGGGATTACAGAGGGCTTTCCCATGAATCACAGGCTGGTCACTGCAGGCAAGTGTCTGCTGGGAAAGCTTGGAGATGAAGTTTGCTGCACTGCTGAGAGCCATCCCTGCACTCAGAGATGTGTGGATGGAGGGGAGACTGTAATAAAGCCAAAGAGAAGTCACCGAAAGCAGGGAACAGGAAATGAGTAACACATCCCTGAAGGAGAAAGCACTTCTTTGGAGGCAGAACTTTGCCTATAGAAAAGAAAATTGGGGCTCCTGGCAAACCACCTCAGGAAAAACAAGCTCACAAGATGCTCTGCAGGGTCCCTTCCAAACCAAACCCATCCATGTTCCTACGAATTGCTATATAAAATCCAGCTGACTGACCTGGCACCTGTGGCATTTCCCAAATTAAAAGCACATTCCAGTCTCTTCTCCAGAAACAGCACACAGATTTCATGAACTCTGTCACAGGGTTAAGCTTGTATCTAATTTAAGAGGTGACTGAGATGTATTATTTTAGCAAGTGAGAGTAGGAGAAAATTGGCAGCGGCGCAAAGAGTGAGTCCTCATCCAAGGGATGTCAGTGGCACAGGGATTGGACATGCTGCCTCCAGAGGTGCTTCTGCAGGGCCTGGAGCACAGGAGCAATTACCAGGTTTGAATACTCAGTGTTACTAAGTGTTGGAGGAGTGCTGGAGGTGCTTTCAGACACGAGCCAGCAGCTGGAAGCCAAACCAGCCTGGCACAGCTTCACCAGGAATTCCCAGTGCTGAGGGAGCTCCTGGGGTCCACCACAGCATCACCCAGGGACAGGGACAGCCCTGGAGGTGCTGACCCCCCGACAGCTCACAGAGGGGTTTTTTTTTGGCTGCAGACTGCCTGGGAAAGCCAAAGCTCCCCCCTTCCGGGCGCCACAAT